ACCGCATAGAGCTTCTCAACCATCCTGTGTGTAAAGAATATTTACTTATGAAATGGTGGGTATTAAGTATTATTTCTTTTTAATGATGCCTCCATTAAATTTACTAAGTCTTCTAAACAATTATGTTTTAAGGGTATTTTAATGTTTTATATTTTATTATTTTAATGTTTTACGCTTTGAAAAAAGAAATGTGTCAAAGGCAAATTTTGGCATTAAAAATCCTGATATCGTTTATTTTTGACGTTAAAGGGAATATTTAGGAGTGTGGGGGGGGTGGTCACTATATGAGACAAGGAGAAGCACCCGTGGGCCCTGTAGTTTAGTGAGCGATGAAGTGAGGTACATCTCTGGGAAGAGCGACCAACTTCCGGGCAGAGATAGGAGCTAATGTCTCTGCCCTTCCATTAACTGGTGAGAGATTTTAAGTAAATCATGATGTACCAGGAAGCTGAGATTCCTTTTCTGAAAATAAAAAAGGCGAATGTGAAGATCTTCTCGGTTCTAAAGTTCAGTGGATTTACCAAATAAATTTCTGAGAGAGGCCGTAACTACTTTTTCCACAGGTATCTCAAGGAAATATTTTGTTGTTGTTGAAATTACTCAATTACGGTTTACTTATAATTATTTTTTAGGTTGGCTTATGGGTTTAGAGCCCATATTTTGAACCTAGGATCTTACTGTCTCGGTCTCCTGCCTATGACCTTTCTTGTTATCAATATAAAGCCAGGTTTGGCTTTCAACTCAACTGGAATCATCAATGAAACTAGTGATCATTCTGAAATATTAGACACCAAGGTATTTGTCATTGATTTTCATATTTCAAACTTTTAAAATAAAGGATTGTCAAAAGCGTGTTTTTTTCCCCTCTTAGAAATACTAATTCCATAATAAATCTGAAATACCAGGACTTTATTATAAAGAGCCTATAGAATTTACATATGGTAGCAATCTCTCCCAAAATTCTTTATGGAATGAGAGGGAAAATAAATAGGCCAATAAATGAATTTGTAAATAGATTTAAAGGGAATCGACATGTATGAGGTACTTGGTTGAAAGCTAAAGTATAGAACTTTAAAACTGGTGTACAGGAAAGGCGATTTGCGGCAGCCAGGGATGGTGGGGGACAGGTATGATGCTTTGCGGGTGCAGGCTTTCCGTCTGGGGTGATGAAAGAGTTATGGA